TCGGATTGGTACTTCTTAAGACAGAATTTATGTTTTTTATGGTGTTATATTGTTGGTAACTGACGGTTCGGATTGGTACTTCTTAAGACAGAATTTATGTTTTTTATGGTGTTATATTGTTGGTAACTGACGGTTCGGATTGGTACTTCTTAAGACAGAATTTATGTTTTTTATGGTGTTATATTGTTGGTGACTGACAGTTCAGACTGGTACTTCTTAAGACAGAATTTAGTGTTATATTGTTGGTGACTGACAGTTCGGATTGGTACTTCTTAAGACAGAATTTATGTTTTTTATGGTGTTATATTGTTGGTAACTGACGGTTCGGACTGGTACTTCTTAAGACAGAATTTATGTTTTTTATAGTGTTATACTGTTGGCGACTGACGGTTCGGACTGGTACTTCTTAAGACATAATTTATGAACTGTCAGTCACCAACAATATAACACTACAAAAAACTACATTGTACCGTTACCAAGGTACAAAACAAACACAATATTGTACCGTTACCAAGTTATGATACAGACACTATATTGTACCGGTATCATGTTATTATATAAACACCATTTTGTGCAGTTACTAAGTTATGATACAAACAATATATTGTACCGTTACCATGGTACAAACATACTACATTTTACTATTAAAGACGTTTATAAAAAACATGAATAACTTCATTAACTTACCAGGAATTACGTTGGCATAACGGTTCTTCACTTCGGCTCCTGTCGGAACTTGATCCATTCGGGGCATGTTCATGGGAATACTCTAGAATAACATAGAACATTATCTAAGTTGGAATACTCTGGAATCAGATTACAAAATTCTGTTTTAAGAAGTATCAGTCCGAACCGTCAGTCACCAACAATATAACACTACAAAAAACATAAATTCTGTTTTAAGAAGTATCAGTTCGAACCGTCAGTCACCAACAATATAACACTAAATTCTGTCTTAAGAAGTACCAGTCCAAACCGTCAGTCACCAACAATATAACACTATAAAAAACATAAATTCTGTCTTAAGAAGTACCAGTCCGAACCGTCAGTCACTAACAATATAACACTACAAAAAACATAAATTCTGTCTTAAGAAGTACCAGTCCGAACCGTCAGTCACCAACAATATAACACTAAATACTGTCTTAAGAAGTACCAGTCCGAACTGTCAGCCACCAACAATATAACACTATAAAAAACATGAATTCTGCCTTAAGAAGTACCAGTCCGGGTTGTTTTTTACCTTAGTAACGGTACAATGTAGTAGTTGTTTTGTACCTTAATAACGGTACAAAGTAGTAGTTGTTTTGTACCTTGGTAACGGTACAATGTAGTGGTTGTTTTTAACTTAGTAACGGTACAATGTAGTAGTTGTTTTTACCTTAGTAACGGTACAATGTAGTGGTTTTTTGTACCTTAGTAACGGTACAATGTAGTAGTTGTTTTTTACCTTAGTAACGGTACAATGTAGTAGTTTTTTTGTACCTTAGTAACGGTACAATGTAGTAGTTGTTTTTTACCTTAGTAACGGT